CGGAAAAAAAAAAAAAAAAAAAAAAAAAAAAAAGAACCACACTTCACTTTTATAGGGGAAATGCATCGGGTATTTGTATAATCTATTTAGCTTCCATAGATATTTAAGTTTGTGACTTCTGTGTCAGATTCTTAAAGCATTAACCCAATATTCTTTGACAGTCACATTGTGAAATGTTTCAGGGGGGATACAATAATTCTCATCTCGCTTTCCTTCTATTTTCTCTCTGGTCCATTGTTAAGGCATAAATTCTATGCTTATCTTGCTCTCTTTAGGGTCTTCCCATTTGATTCTTAAGTAGTAAAAATGCGCATGTGTGCGCATGTCTTTTTTTCTCTTTTAATTACTACTCAGGGAATCTATTCTTAAATCAATTTGGAGGTCTCTGAGTAGGAAGCATTAGTAGGATGATGGATCAGAGAAATGCAAAGATTAGTATTTCAAGATACTGTTAGGTCACAGTATCAGCATAGGTAAATATTGAAGATACATTATTGACACTGTGTGTAAAAACACACATACTCATAAACTATATATTTCTGTGAGCATGTGCGTATAGACACACATACATATATATGTACATGTGTGTGCATACTTTTAAAAACTATCTTGAAGGATACATCGAAAACAAAAACATTGAAAACAACAGTGTTATTTCAGAGGAGATAAATGCTTTGGGGGAATAGTCTTAGTTTTACTTATAATATTTAATTCTTAATTTTTAAAAAGAAGAATGCATTAATATATCACTCGCATAATTAAAAATTCTTTTATACCTTCTTGCCCAAATTATGTATTCACCTCTTAACAGAGTACCTGTTAACAGCATGTTGTCCACTGTCTGAATTAGTACTCAGTTCTCTATTTTCCTGTCTCTTAGTTCTGGCTCACTCAGACTTAATAGTTTTGGACTTCAGCTTTAAATTCTGGAAAGTTTTTTATCTCTCTAGACTGAAAAAGGTTTTTTAAAAAATATATTTATCAAAGAGGGTGTTACACACAATGGTCTGACTCATCTATAAATAGATTTTCATGCCTACAGCGATTTTCTTTTGTGGATGTGGTGTGCCTGGTGGGAGAGAATTTTGCAAAATCGGAGATACTTGTGATGAAGTAAGAGTGACACTGATGTTGTTTTTCCCTGACTTGGGAGCTTGTCCAAATAAAATGGGTTTCTAGGAAATATCTTTTTCCATCAGTTATTTTTGGTTTAGAACATTGTAAAATTGCCCAGCCTGTGTTGTTGCTAAGATAAGGAACTCTTTGCCTCCCTTCATCCCTATCTGGCCCATCATACAATCAAGTAATGACTGTACTTTCAGTGTTACTGGCAGTCAGGCTCAGCTTGCCCTCTTGCACTAAACAAATGACTCAAAAGTCCAAAAGTTGGTGCAAGGATTGGAAGGTTTATTCACATAACCAGCATCTGGGGGATGACCAGGCTAAAATCATCCCGCCTTCTGATGCTTGTTCTGGGGTTTATAAAGGGGAAGAGGCAGGAAGGTTGAGGTAAGGGTTTTGTCTTGCAGGAAAAAAAGGGGGAGTCTGGTCAAAGGATTAGTAGAGGGTGTGAGTCAGATGTCAGGGTCCCATGATGACCTGGGTGCTTTGGCGTTGTGGAGTCTGCAGTTGGTGGACTGGTCAGCTTCAAGCCCTTGATGTTATTTTGGAGTTGGAGTCCTTATCTCCTAGGGGAGATCTCAAAAACAATAACCTCAGTCAAACATCACTGGAACATAAAAATACCTGAGTTGGACCTGTAACTAATGTGGACGCAATTTTCCTTTAAGTAAGAAGGTGAGTTAATAAGCAGCAAGGGTGCTTTGCTTTTTTCTAACTTCCTCTGTTTGCAGTTGATTAGGGAGGTAAGAAAAATAGCAAAACTTAGTTTCAAACCTTAATTGTAGGTGCACAACATCTAAAGTAAATCAACATGAGAGAGTGTAATGGGAGGTAAACAGAAATGAACCTTTGAGAAGGATACTTTTTCCTCTACCAACCTCAGGAATTGATGATTATCAGTTCCCAAATTAATGGCTAACTGAAATTTTCTGCTTGGTCTTAGTTACCCCAAAGATGGCTGTTCTCTGTTGAAGATCCCTTTCATGAGTCTGAGGTGACAAGTGCCTGTGAGGTCATTGATGATGTCAGTCCTGTGTCTCATTGTATCTCTTTCCATTCCAGTCAACATGAGCAACTGGTCTTAAAATGGGAGACCTGGCTTCAACCTGAGAGAGGAGGAGGCAGTGAGGACCAGACCTGCCTGCTCAGTGCTAATTCAGCTTAGCTGTGGATATGCTGAGCCATGTTGAGACAAACTCTTTCATGCAGTTCATGGAGCAGACCTCATTTCATGGGTTTTTAATACACGAACTGTTAAAAACTACTATATTCTTACATAGAGAGTAAAATATGTAGAAATCAATGGGATGTTAGATTGTCTTGTAGGTATTTTTGTTCAGATTCTAAAGTTGAGCAACTCACAGTACCTTTAAGAGAAAAATTACTTTTTTTTACTCTTTAAGAAGCTACATTTTCGTGGTTGGACCATTGTTGCAAATTGAACTTTCTCTTCTTCCCAGTGGATTTCTCTCTATATACTGTTGTTTTCCTGAATGACCTTATTTCTCATGGATGCCCCTAGTCACAGCACTGCTGTGCTAGGGGCATTTTGCATGAGAGCCCCTGAGGTGTTACTGTTTTGCTTCTTCACTGTGTGCATGTTGCCACCAGGTAGTGGTAAAGAGTCTTGATCAAGCAGTCATGCTCTGTGCTTCATTGACTGGACCGTAAGATAGGCACTGTTCCTTCAGGAAGGATTTATTGAACATTTGCATCTGTGAGTAGATGTTGGTGAATATCAATTTTAAGTACATTTCCATGAGAATAATTAAATGGCTTTGATGAAAACGTCTCTTTCTGTGGTTATTTTTTAACTACTGCTGGTAGATTTCCTCTCTTTTAAAACATCCCTCCATCTTCAGGGGGGAAAATGTTTTCTCTTCTTTGTGGTCCGAAATCTTCCTTTTTCTGCCAGTCGTCTTCTTAGGAACTCATTTTTCTTTCATTCAGATATTTCGTGTTTCTGTAGAGAACTGGTTTTTGATTGCTTTTCCTCTAGTTCTCAGCTATGCAAGCTCTGTCTTCTGTTTCCTCCGGCCTCACCTCTAGATATCTTTTATGCTCTCTACCCACAGAGTCTCGCTTTTCTTTCTGGAGAGTTGTGACAGCTCATCTGACTTACCCAGGAATGAGAGGGTTTGAAGCAGCTTGTTTTTCTTTCTCTCATAGAACATGTTACAGCCGTGCAACATGGTGCAGGTAGCAGCTGAATTTACACGTACGTGGGTGTTTCAAAACACAGCAAGACACAGTTGTAGAGTCAGTGCCTGGATTAGTTTCCTGAGGCTGCTATAACAGAATACCACAAACTGGGTGGTCTAAACAACAGGATTCATTGTCTCGCAGTCTAAACAACAGAATTCATTGTCTCGCAGTTCTGGAGGCTTAAAGTCCAAAATCACGGTGGTTGGCAGGACTCCTTCTTTCTGAGGGCTGCGAAGGAGAATC